TACGCTGCCATTATTTTCAGTCCAAAGCCTCTCAGATCTTAGCGCTCTTTTTCGTGGCGGCATTCTTATAAAACTTTTGAGCACATAATAAACTGCCCGCTTGGCAGGCTCTATCCAAGATAGTTATCATTAGTCTATAAGCTACTCAAGTGAATCAATAAGAGGATCGACAATAAACCTTTTTCTCTCCTTTTATGGGACGCATCGCCTGAAAACGAGCAAATGATAAATTAACAAGGTGAGCTTCGCAATGATGCAATGATCCAAGACTTGAAGACAAAATCTGGTGGCAAAAACCGCAAGGATAAGCCACGGCGGAGGAGAAAATGATCATTTGTCTTAACAGAGTTTTACAAATATGACTGAAACATATTTGCCAATGACTAATTCACATACCTAACATGTGGTGTAAAACCTCGGTGATATATGTGATTCTCTATTGAATGGTTTGAGTTAATACTTATGTTTTTTCTCGGTCTCACATGATCATACTCTCACTATGCAAGGGAAGATCCTCCATAACTTAACTACAATCAGTTCAACTGCACACATTACAGCAGAAATGCTTAAAACAATAATGTATACTTTAAATTATCAAAATGGTATGTACATTAAATAAACAGCGAAAACAAATAACTTGAATAAGCAACCTGAAAGTTTTCTGATGTATCCTCTTTGCTGGACCTCCTTCTCTTCAGCTGAAAAAAAGCAGATAAGAAATCAATATTGCTCACCTTCGGAATAATTCAAGACTTGCGGATTAAATTTCACATTGAGTTTTGAGACCACTAGATCTCCACTTGAAAAAGGGTCACCATTATCTTCAAAATTCTTGCTCTCCGTTCTCCTCACCAGCTTTTCTACATTTCTTTGTTACTAACCCAGGAGATTGTTCTGTTTTATGAAGGCAACATCCTGTAGCAGTTAAGTTTGTCTATTTTCACCACCTATTTGCTAGATATTGTATTGATACTAAAAAAAGAAGTTAGAAGTCAGTCAATTCCGGGAGACAAAGAAAATTCTTGTACCTGATACAAAACAATCCATGAAAAACAAAGCCACCATGCAGAGCAACAAAACTGTGGGTATCTTCATCTTTATCTTGTGTTTGCTACTTTGAATACTAAAGAAAAAAAACCCAGAAAAACAATTGAGCAAAACCGATATGGCTTTATGTGGAAGAGAGACTTCAGTGCGCTACAAAGCTAATTACAAGAAAAGGCTAATCTACAGATTAACATATGGTATGAATACCCTGTGAATAACCTGATGTAGAGGACAGAGTAGAAATGTCTAGCGCATGTCAAGATCTTTAGCGGGCTCACGTGTGAAACCATTGCAGGATTATAATAAAATGGCAAATTTTGCAGAAAATAAAGATAGGCGTGGTTTTTTTTTTTGCCTAAGTTAAGACGCAAGAAAACATGACTGAAAGTCTAGCAACAGAGCGTTCTTTAACAGGAGTGCGAAATATTATTTGAAAACCATATTTTGTCCTTTGAATGAAATTTTAAGCGATAAAAATGAAAAAGTCTTATGTTCAGTAATAAGGTGTTTCTTGAAAAAAAGACCGATAGTAACAACAGCTCGTATACTACGAAGAATAGCAGGTAATCTAGTGTTAACAACTGGGTTGAAAACGTAAATTAGCCACCGTAAAGGGTAAAAAAGGCTGACGTTTCGAGCGTTAGCCCTTCGTCAGAGCGATGACGAAGGGCTAACGCTCGAAACGTCAGCTTTTTTACCCTTTACGGTGGCTAATTTACGTTTTCAACCCAGTTGTTAACACTAAATTACCTGCTATACTCTCCCACCGACGCAGCACCACAGTTTCTTTAGAAACTTACCCCTTTACTACGAAGAATAGTTTTAGCCAAGGAAATGATCTATTTAACCAACTTTACGCCTTTGTAAACACGAGTTCAGCCCTGGATATCTTATACCTCCTGACAGGAAAAATGTGAAAAGAACGGTCTCGTGGAGAGAAGAAAGCAGCTTACTTTGCACACCTTGTCACAAGATTCTGTAACCCTCTTGAAGTCTTCTTCTCGGACGGGAATGAGTAACTAATGATCAAATTAGGGAGTTTGCAGCTCTTTTAAGCGATTTCCAAACAAAGAAGAGTTACTATTCTTGGCCGGAAAGCGCTTTAGGCGAGGCAAAACAATAGAATTTGCTCTTCTTGTAGACACAATCACACTTCAGTAACTAAAAAGGGTGACTAGACATGAGTTTTCTTACACGATAACCTTGATCAAGATGAAATTTACGAATTAATCTAAATATATTTCAAATTTTAGTAAATGCGTTATTCACAGTCCATGATTGGAAAGGTACAGTTCAAGATGTAACCTATAGAAACCATTTCTGCCACTGCAAACAGTTGGATTGCCAGAGGTCAGAGGACGTAAATAGGAAAAGTCGAATTAATTCGAGGGCTTAAGAGTAGAGCTTCTTTTTCTATCACAGAGATATTTATCACACATACGTTAATGCTTAGTCTTTATCAAAAAAATACATATGTCTATGAAATATCAGAATATCTACTTTTATAGGATGATATCTGCGTGCATTGGACATGATTCATTCTCGCTATCTTCATACGAAAAGATATCTGTGTCGTCATGGTAATCGATCCTTTGAACGTGGCGGTTTTCATAAACGTGGCAGTTTTTTTATGAACGCGGTGGCTTTTCTTTTCGCTTATGCTTTTTTGAAAGCTCACCAACTTAAGTAAGTTGTCATAGAAAGAGTAATCAACATTAACATTCTCTTCACGTCCATATATCTAACCCCAATTTAGACCCTTGACCAAGGCTGTGACCCAAGTTTCACTTAGAGGAAATGACTGAATAAGGAGCCTGGGAGGGGAAGGAATTTTGACTTAGAATTTCGCGAGCATAAGCTTTGTTTCCATCATTAAGATGTTGATTAAATACCACAATTTCTCCTTTTTCGTAGGATAAGATCTTCTCCATGCGTAATAAGTTTATAAACACGGTGGTATTTCTCTTTATGAACAGTTTTTTCTTAATTTTAGGCTGAATCTTATTCAGTCCCAATGTCAATCAAAAAAACTGACGAACGGTATCTTAGTGTAAAGGCCTTGTCAAAGTACACTTTCGTCTAAGTGGAGTGAACAGTGGTTTAAAGGTAAAAGGTTTTTGTTAGTTATACAAGTTCCCCACTTTTTTTCCGAAGAGTTTCTCCAAAATAGAAACTGATGGTCAAGATATTCAGATAATAGTACCTTGCAGCGCCAATTATTCTAGTAATGGGGTTAGAATGAACGCTGGGATTGGCCAACCCTGTACGTACCAAGTCCCTCAAGGGAAGTGCAGAAGTTCATAATAAGTTCTTACACCATAATTCCGTTCCACCTCGATCAAGGTAGACCTTTACGGGCTCAAATAAAAACTGTGTATTCTAAAGAATTACTAATTCCGAAAATAATGGAAACAGAGGCTTTGCGACGTTTGGGCTTATATTAAGACCGGTGAATATTTTTTAAGTGTTGATATGTCCTAAAGGTATTGTTCAATCGTAGATTTTTTCTTTAAATTATTCAGATTCTAGACTTTTCAACACAACAATATGCGATTTTATAGCCGTAAGGTCGCGTGTCGCCCCATAACAACGATTCTAGCGTGGTGAGATCTATCGCCCGGATCTCGTAAATGCAAGAAATTCGTTCGTTTGTTTGCTTCTGAACGGTCAGTTATAGAACTTTTTAGAATAAGGAGATATTTCTAGGTCATTTTATTTTGCATTTTATTAGTAAGTTTTGGTACCACGCGATTATCTGGTTACCCCAAAGTTTGCAAATATCGACCTGGAGCATGTTCTGTGATTTATATATTTTACTTCATAACAAAACTCTGCTCTCCAAGAAGCTGCTCCAATTCCAACACAAATGTAAAACAGTTCCATAGCATTGAAAGTTATCTTCGAAGTAAATAACTTGATTTCAACCTTACTAGTGTCAGTGAACTTTACAAAAAGCATTCGCGAGAAGAAAAGCCACCGCGTTCATAAAAAACTGCTGCGTTTATGAAAACCGCCACGTTCAAAGGATCGATTACCATGACGACACAGATATCTTCTCGTGTGAAGATAGCCGGAATAAATAATCTCCAATGCATGCAGAGAAGATATCATCTTATAAAAAGTAGATATTCTGGTATTTAATAGATGTATGTATTTTTTGATACAGACTAACCATTAATATATGTTTAATAAATATCTATATTATAGAAACGGAAGCTATACTCTTAAGCCGTCGAATCAACTCGACTTTTCCTAGGTATTCTAACCTCTGGTAATACAACTGTTTGCAGTGGCAGAAATGGTTTTTATAGGTTACACCTTGGACTGTACCTTTCCAATCATGGACTGTGAATACTGCATTTACTACAATTTGAAATATACTTAGATTATTTCATAAATTTCATCTGATCAAGGTTATCATGTAAGAAAACTCATGTCCAGTCACCCTTTCTAGTTACTGAAGTGTGATTGTGTCTCAAAGAAGAGCAAAGTCTATTGTTTTGCCTGCCCTCTCTTTCTAGTTACTGAAGTGTGATTGTGTCTAAAAGAAGAACAAATTCAATTATTTTGCCTGGCCTAAAGCGCTTTCCAAGAATAGTAACTTTACTTTGTTCGGAAATCACATAAAAGAGTTACAAAATTCCTAGTTTGATCATAAGTTATTCATTCCTGTCTGAGAAGAAGACCTCAAGAGGGTTACAGAATCTTGTTACAAGGTGTACATAGTAAACTGCTTCTTTAATTTCATGCGGCCTTTCTTTTCAAATTTTTCATATCAGTAGGTATAAGATATCCAGGGCTGAACTTTTGATTACAAAGGCGTAAAGTTGCTGAAATAGGTAAAATAAAATCGATTTGTTTTTTAAGATACAACTTATCATTGGATACAAAACTTATTTCACTTTTGTTTCTTGAGATTTCATTCGAAGGATAAAATATGGTTTTCAAATGCTATTTCGTACTTTCGATTAAAAACGCTTTGTAGCGAGAGTTTTTCAGCTGTGTTTTCTTGCGTCTTAACTTAGGCAAAAAACCACGCCTCTTTCCGTTTTCTATAAAATTTGCTATTTTATCACAATCCTGCAATGGTTTCAGACATAAGCCCACTAAAGATCTTGACATGCACGAGACATTTCTACTCTGCCCTCTTCGTCATGTCATTCACAGGTTATTTATACCATATGTTGATTTGTGGATTAGCCTTTTCATGTAAATAGCTTTGTAGCGCACCGAAGTCTCTCTTCCACATGAGGCCACATTGGTTTTTTCTTAATTGTTTGTCTGGTTCTTTTTTGTGTTCAAAGTAGCAAACGTAAGATAAAGATGAAGATACCCACAGTTTTGCTGTTCTGTATGGTGGCTTTGTGTCTCGTGGAATGTCTTGTGTCAAGTACAAGAATTTTCCAACCTTTGACACCCAGAATTGATTAACGTCTAATTTCTCTTTAATTTTACAGTATTAATAAAATATCTAGCAAGTTGCTGCTGGAGGATGTTGCCTTCATAAAACAGAACAATCTCCTGGGTTAGTAACAAAGAAATGCAGAAAAGCTGGAGGGAAGAATGAAGAGCTATAATTTTGAAGATAATGGCGACCATTTTTCAAGTGGTGGTCTCAAAACTCAGATAGTAATTTTATCCGTAAGTCTTGAATTTTTCCGAAGGTGAGCATATTTATTATCTGCTTGTTTTCAGCTGAAGAGAAGGAGGCCGAGCAAAGAGGATACATCAGACAACTATCAGGTTGATTATTCAATTTATTTGTTTTCGCTGTTTATTTAATGTACATATCATTTTGATAATTTTAAGTAAACATTATTGTTTTAAGCATTTCTGCTGTAATGTGTGCAGTTGAACTGATTGTAGTTAAGGTATGGAGGATTTTCCCATGCATAGCGAGAGTATGATCAAGTAAGGTCAAGGAAAAACAAAAATATTGATTCAAAATATTTAATAGAGAATCACATATACCACCGAGGTTTTGCACCACATGTTAGGTATGTGAGTTATTTGAAAATATGCCTCAGTCATAGTTGCAGAGCTCTATTAAGACAACTGACCATTTTTTCCTCCGCCGTGTCTCATCCTGGTGGTTTTTGCCATCGTATTTTGTCCACAAGTCTTGGATCACTGCGAAGCTCACCTTGTTAAATTATCGTTTCCTTGTTTTCGGGTGATGCGTCCGAAACAGAAGGAAAGAAAAAGGTTGATTGTCGATCCTCTTTTTCAATTGCATCGCTTGTAGGCTAACGATTAATAACTTGAAGAAAGCCTGCAAAGCAGAATGCTGTGCCGAAAATTCAAAATTAAATTAAGCATAACTCATGATTTGCTAGTTGCTAATAAGTGGTATCGATATAATAGCATGATTATCAATGAAAACAAGCTGCAAGCAATAGTATTGGGAACAACTGATCATACGTTTTCTTTTGCTGTTAAGCCCTCGATTGACGTATTTGTTGCGAGAATTGACAACAAATTTTGTTTCGATAACCACATATCTGCCATCTGCAAGAAGATAAACAATCAGTTCAGCCTTATGTTAAGACTTCATAAACTGATTTCTAAGTGACTTCATGTTAAAACTATACATACCTTTCTCCTACCACATTTTCAATACTGTTTTACAGTTTGGCATCATTGTGGTGCAGAAAAGTTAGAGGCTTTAACAAAACGCATACTCACATTACTTCAGGATTACAGCTCTTCCTATAACCAGTTACTTGACAAGGTCAACCTCAATTTTTTATGTTTGTGAGTATATGCGTATGTAAAAAAACGCTGATACAACCGCGGTGGAAGCTGAAAATTTCATGAACAAAACGTTTTACCGCGAAATGTAAATAAAGTATTTCTCTTTAAATTTAAGTAACTTACAGGATATCTTGGTTTATTGTAATATTCGAATTCCATTTTATCCTCAGCCTATCATGGAGCGAAAGAGGGTCTGCAAACATACACTTTTGAGAGCCTTTCAAGACTTTATAACAAAAAAGATCAAGGCTGTGCGAAACGGGATCGAAGGGTAAGTGTAACAACTTATTACAGACTTCTACATGAACCCGAAATAAAAGGTTTTAGTTGAAATTTAGTACTTTTTGGGATGTCTAAGGAAATTTTCACATTCCCACACAAATCAATGATCTCCTTGGCCCATTAGAGAAAGGCAAAAAATGGTTTGCTAACATACAACTTCATTAAAGAATTTGGGAGGCGTCTTCCACAAATACCA